GAGGGGGGGCGGCTTTAAGTCTGAAATGCACTCGAAATAAGAACACGGAGAACTTTTCGGGGTTTTGCGCGACGTGCGTCGTATCTTAATGTTTATTTACTTAAAAGGTACAATTCTTAATAATTTCATGCCGTGTCTCGATTCTGGGGTACGCTGCGGTTCCGATTCGTCCTCCTCGTCCCGATTGCGGCTGTCTGGTAGGGAGATGCCGATAGTTCTCGAAAGTCAGCAGTGAGACATTTTTGGACTCGAAAGTCAGCTCAGAGAAGTTTGTTGGAGTCGAGAGTCAGCTCGGAGAAGTTCGGACTCGAAAGTCAGCAGAGATACGGACTCGAAAGAAGAAGAAAGATCGATCGGTTGTGCTTTGTATCGCTCCGCTGTTGTTTTTACCTATTAAAACAAAACAATTAATATAAATTACTTGGTTTCATTTATCAACACCTTAAGGGGTTATATACCTTTTTGAGCGAAAAAATTGAGGGAACTTTCGATTTTTTTTCAGGTGTGTAGCAATTATTTTATGACACTGAAGTTATTATTTATTGATAGTACATGTTTTCATCGAAACAACAAGCGTTTGTTCTTGAAAAAATATAAATAATTTACGAAGTTATGGCAATTCTCTCGGAACCTTTTTTTTATAGCGGCTTGCGGTGACCACGATGGAAGTCCAGCAGGTCAAGTGAAATAAAAAAACCAAAAAAATTCTATTAGTATAGTATTATATCCAGTTCGTGAACGATTATTTTCAAGAATATTTGGTTTTTTCTGCATACAGTAACGATTTTTCCAAAAAGTTGATTTTTCGAGTTCTAAAAATTTTATTAAAAAATTCTGATCTGCAAAATCAAAATGCAATCTGCAAAACTGAATCATTCACGAACTCGGCACAATCATTACGAATAATTAAAAAAAAAATGAAGAAGATCAATCAAATAGTTTATGTGCAATCGCGGTCACCGCAAAAGCACTTTTGGAAAAACACGACTTTGAGATAATCGCATTCAAAAATTTACGTTGAGTATATGCAACTATTGAAGTCGCGCCTCTAAACGCTGTTTTCCAATCGAACTATTATTCGGATCTCTATGAAAATTTGGGAAAATGTTCTCTAGGGGATATACTTTAGGACTCAGCAAAAAAAAATTTTTCGTTTTTTTTTTTAAAAAAAGGTATATATCCCCTTAAGTACCTGCGTATTCCTTATAATTTGGAAAACTGCAATTAAATCAATCTGTAAAAGTGAATCAAGTTATTAATTACAAATTGTGAAAGTTCGCTTTGACACACATATTCTCGTACATAGACACTTATTAACTCACCACAAAACAAATACACCGAAACCGATACACTAACACAGCAAAATCGCTACACTCAACAACACTACAAAAGAAACTGCCGAAGATGTCTACGTCCACTGCATCCAAACGCCTACGCAGCAACGCTGGAACCGTCCCAGATTCTGGATCTGCTTAAGGTGCGCTTCCAGGAGCAGACGGATGAGATTACGGCCTTCGTATGGGAAACGGAGAAACGCATACTTAGTATTCTCTCGGACAGATTCCATTGCAGGTGAGGTGAAGCAAACTGGAGAGCGGGTATCTCGCCTGGAGCGGGAAGTAGTTGATCTGCGCTCGCAGCGGGAACAGCTGAGTATTCTTGTTGACCGTCTCAGCCAGGAGGTAGCAGACATGCGGGTGGTCAAAGAGAGAGTGGGAGGTGTGGAGGCTAAACTGGCTGCTCACAAAGCGGCTAACAATGCGCTTGACCTTCGCATACATAGAATCCCATATGCTGAGGGTGAAAACCTAAAAACACTTTTTCATACTCTGTGTTTTTCACTGCACATAACTCCGCCACCGCGGGTTCGGGACATTTTCCGGGCCCGTAAAACACAAAGAACAAATGTCGACCCGGTCATTATTGTTAAGTTGGATAACTTGCGAGAAAAGATTGGGCTACTGAAAATAATTGCAGCGCACCGGCGAGAAAATAAAATGCAACTGAGCCTAAAGCACGTGGGTATCGACTCTGATGCTCCGATCTATGTTAATGAGCAGCTTTTAAGAGAAAATTACATCATCTTCAAAGAAGCAATGCGATTAAAAAAACACAAGTTTTTGACTGCAGTTTTTACCCGACGTGGCCTTGTTCATGTTCGCTGTAATGGGAGCGAGAATGTGCGATGCATAGAGCGCATTGAAGAGCTAAACGTGATGTGCGATAACGAACCTCCTCTCTCCTCCTCCCGCTCTTCACTACTCCCCACACTAGCCTTGGAAGATGGACCTGCACAATCGGAGAGCTTTCGCTCTTAATTTTATTCGTACTCTTAATGTTCATTTAATTGTTAGGTTATTCATTAAATTGTATCAGTATATAAGTAATTGTTTAATGTTTAATGTCTTTTGTTACACTGAGTTTGCGCCTCATGAATGGTATGTCCCAAATTATGTGGGATAATGTAGGGGGTTCCATGACTGGTAGCATTTTAAGAGACTTAACTAATTATAAACAGGGCTTAAAAGTGGTTCATATTAATGCACAGAGTCTCTTAAGAAAAATTGATGAGTTTAGGTATCTGTTCGTGAAGTCTAACGTAGATGTAATATGTGTATCTGAAACGTGGTTTATGTCTGAGCAGTCTGATTTATTGGTTAATTGTGATGGTTATAATGTTTTTCGTTCTGAACGAATTTGGAACGCTGGTGGAGTGGCTATATATGTCAGCAGCAGTCTAAACTGTGAGGTCAAGTGTAAACAGCCAAACGATAGTCCCATCGAATATATATTTTTGGAGGTAAATAGTATTTCAAAGGAAACAAAATCCCTCATCGGCTGCATTTACCGACCTAACCGAACAATTGAATACGCACCTTTGATAGACACTATTCGTGAGATATCTACTGCCTACACTGACATTATACTTGCAGGCGACTTTAACAGTAACGTCCTTAATGAGAACCACCTAATAGATAGCTTCGAGGCTTTGGGCCTTTATGCTGTCAATAAATCAATGCCTACTCACTTCACTGACTCCACTGATACCCTTCTTGACTTGTTCTTCGTAAATGACCCTAGTTTAATTCTATTATATGACCAGGTCGCAGCACCAGTTTTCTCGAAACAAGACCTTATATTCTTGACTTATGACGTATCTTTGACCCATAATGTTAACTCGTTCAGCTTTAGGGATTATAAAGGCATTAATGCTTTGGTTATCCAGAGCGAATATAGTATGTGTAACTGGTCTCCTATTTATCAATGTACAAGTGTTGAGTCTCAATTAAATGTCTTAAATACTAACGTAATAAATATGTTTAACAAATGTGTACCTGTCAAAATAAAAGTTATTAAACCAAGGCAAAACCTGTGGTTTAATAATGATATAAAAGAACTGATACATCAACGAGATATCGCGTACAGGAAATGGAAGCGGTATAAGACTGACCATTTTTGTACTAAGTATAAAAATTTAAGGTGCAGAGTTACAAAACTTATAAAGGTTGCCAAGGGTGAAATATTCAAACTAAAACTTGAGAATGCCACCTCGTCAAAAAAGACCTGGAATGAACTCAAAAAATTGGGAATTGGAAAGTGCAGGCAAACAAACAATAACTATATTGATGTAGAGAATCTCTGTCAATCGGTTACGCAAATCGATGTACCTGAAGCAACTCATAACCAGTACCTGAACAATATATCTAGCTGTGATAATAGTTTTAGCTTTATGTGCGTCGATCAATGTGATGTTTTAAATGGAATCCTCAAAGTTAAATCGAATGCTGAAGGTTTAGATAACGTCAGTCCCAAATTCTTAAAACTTATTACTCCGCTACTTCTTCCACATATAACATACATCTTCAATAGTGCAATTACTACTTCGACTATGCCCACAACTTGGAAAAAGGCAAAGATTATTCCAGTTCAAAAACCAAATAAGGAATACAGACCCATTTCAATCCTTCCCTTTCTTGCTAAGGTGCTTGAAAATTTAATGGCGCAGCAGATGTTGAGGTATCTCGAAGATAACTCCCTGCTGGCGCAAAAACAATCTGGGTTCAGGAAGAAAAGAAGCTGTATTAGTGCAATAACGGACATTGTTGAAGATATTCGGAAGCAACTAGACAATAATTGTGTGACGTTTTTAACTCTATTGGACCATAGCAAAGCATTTAACTCAGTAAACTCTATTCTCTGCTCTAAGTTAAAAAATCTCTTTAATTTCTCTGATACTGCAGCTCGATTTATTGAGTCATACCTAAGTGGAAGGTCACAGGCAGTTGTCTCTGGCACTCGCATGTCTAGCTGTAGATTGCTAACACGGGGAGTACCTCAGGGATCAGTACTTGGTCCTTTGTTATTCTCTTTGTATGTAAATGATTTACCTAGTTTTCTGTCTGACTGTGAAATACATATGTATGCGGATGATGTTCAAATTTATGTTAGTAGTCCTGTTAATCAGTTAAATATTTGTATAAGTAAGAGCAATAATATGTTCAAGAAATTAAATGACTGGGCAACATGCGTAGTAGGCGGGATTTGCCCGAAGAGTGTGGCCAGCCTCTGTTCGGTCCAATGTGACCCTTCGTTCGTGATAAGTGGCGCGCGCGCGCATTCAATTCAAATTATATTCATAATGTCACCAATCTATTTGCCTATCTCGCTAATTGTTCCTAGTTTATTCTAGTTCTTTAATATATACTTGTGCGCGTATTCGCGTCACACCCTGTAAATAAATTCATCCATTCTGATGCGGATTTTACTACCATCGAAATTTTATGCCCATTTTTAAATAATTCCTGATACTTTTTCCGGGCTAACATGCGAGGGTGGTCCGAAAAATAGCCTCAACGACTGAGGTGTTCCAAATCGGTTATCGATATTACTAAAAAAAATTTCAATCGAAAGCTTTTTTAAAATCACATGTGGAATTTGGCACGCTCGTGAATTTTAAGGAAATGGAAAAAGAGCAGTACCTATTCCTATTTTTGGAAGGGATGTCGCGCTCCGAAATCAAAGAGCGCTTGGATGCTGTGTATGGTGACTCTTCTCCTTCGATGGCGACCGTCAAAAATTGGTTCAATGAATTTCAACGTGGTCGCATATCCGTTTTTGATGAGTCACGCCCAGGTGCCCCAAAAACGGCTAGTACGGAGTATAAACAAAATCCACAACCTCGTATTGGAAGACCGCCGATTGAACGTGCGCGAGATAGCCGATACAGTGGGCATCTCAAAAGACCGCGTGGGCTATATCCTGCACGAAGTTTTGGGGATAAGAAAGCTGTCGGCGCGATGGGTGCCGCGTTTGCTTACTGCAGACAACAAACGTAACTGAGAGACCAATTCAGAGCAGTGTTTGACGCTCTTTAAACGCAATCCGAAGGAGTTTTTGCGCCGTTTTGTGGCCGTTGACGAAACGTGGATCCACTGGTATACACTAGAGACCAAGGAACAGTCGAAACAGTGGACTTCACCTGGCGAATGTGCTCCGAAGAAGGCGAAGACAGTGATATCGGCCGATAAGGTGATGGCCACTGTTTTCTGGGACTCACAAGGTGTGGTTCTCGTATGAGCTTGTATTGCTCCTGTTTATGCCTCCTTCATCTACGTTGTTACTTACATGGTGTCTGGTTATGCAGCCCGCACCTGGTGACCCAGCGGCTAAACAACAACAATAAATTTGCTCTGCGTAGCAAAGCTTTACCTCTCCTCCTGCCTTCTGCATAACATAAACTTTATCACTCTCTCGCTCTATTTGCATAGCTGCCCTTGGCCGTCCGCTAACTGCAGCAGAAATTCTTTTCTCAGTTCGTCTTCGTTTGTCTTCACCTACGCCTGAAAACGATCAGCTTAAATATTTGCCTATAACCAGTTTCGGACCATTTCGGGTCATAAATATCCGCAGCGGCAATTCGGCTGGCCTGCGCTGATAATTGATAGAAAACTTCGTGGCTTAATAAATATTGCATTTAATTTATAACGTTTTAAAACAAGTGCGTATTTTTTGGGTCAAAAAGAAATTGGACAATTCGACAGCTATTGAAAAAGCTCAATAGCTCAACATTTGGTGACCCCGACGTGATCTTGGCTAGTAAAAACATTAAACATTTCGGTTTAATAATTGTGCCAAGCGCGTAAACAATTTCGTTTAGTGCATTGCTTGTGGCTGTACTTTGCCGCGCCGCGCTAGGCAAACGTACATACATACATACACATATATGCACCGGTACTTTTGCGTGTACTCTTTGCTCTCGTTCTCCTGCTTGCTGTTCATTTGCCGTCGGTAACAGCTATTCGAATTCGCTTCCCGCTTATTTTGTGCAGTAACTCTGACAAAATACTTTCGCTTGTGTGCGGGCATCATTGCGGTACAAAGAAAAATCTGCAGTGCATGTCAAACTGTTGGCTGCAGTTTATATTGTGAGCTAATAAAATAAAATGTCGACCCCAGAAACTCCTCAGTTTTCGTCGCCCAATCGAGTTACGTTCTTTAAGCGTAGGGCAAACGCGATAGCTGCCCATGCTCAAAAAATTGCTTCTGGCCTTACTGCCGATAGGGTTAAGGCCGTTCCTGAGGAGGAGCTCACCCTGAAACTTGAGCTTATAAATAAAACCGAAGCTTCTTTCTCATTGGCTCATGATTCGTTGGAGGAACTCGATTATGAGGAAATTGGCAGCAAAGCGCGGGACGACTTTGAGGATTTGGTGTTCTCCATGAGATCGGTGGTGCTGCAAGAGCTGGGAAAGCGCAAATTCCAAGGAGTTCCGTGTTCAACCATGCATCCAGAGGTGGCCATGGAGGCCGCTGCGCCTGCTCCAAGAAGATCGTGCCTTCCTGAGCTTAAGTTGCCAACCTTCAGCGGCGGCTACACTGAGTATGCCGATTTTATTTCAATGTTCCTGACAATTATTGATAGGAATAGTGATCTGGCTCCAATTGAGAAGCTGCAGCACCTGAAATCATGCCTGAAAGGTCCAGCTTTAGATGCCGTTCGTTCGCTGGAGATCACTGACTCTAACTATGGAGTAGCGCTGGAATTACTTGACAATCGCTTCAATAATAAACGCCTTATTTTTCAGGCTCACATAACAGATATTTTTGGTTTGTCAAAGGTGGAAAGTGCATCAGCTGTGAAGCTGCGTGAGCTCTCCGATAAGCTCAATGCCAATCTTCGAGCGCTTCAGAGTTTGGGAACCTTGGAGGAGATCGCTGGTTGCATTCTTGTTCATACGCTGCTGCAAAAAGTTGACCCGACTACCCAGGCTAAATGGGAAGAGTCTGCCTCTCTGGACAAAATACCCACCTGCGCAGAATTTACTAAATTTCTGGAGAAGCGATGCCAGAAACTGGAGAATGTGGAGCATGCTGCTTTATCCAATGGTGGCAATTCGCAAGCTTCAAGGCCCAGGAGGTTCAGCAGTCATGGGAGAAGTTCGTTTGTCGCCACTAGCATCACAGCCTCGACCAGATTGTGCGTTATGTGCCAGGGTGCAAATCATGGCATTTATAATTGCGCTCAATTCTCCAGCCTTTCTCCTCAAGCTCGTCTGCGTGAAGCTAAACGGCTAGCCTTATGCCTAAACTGCCTCAAATCTGGACATCAATTGAGGAATTGTAGTTCGGGCTCCTGTCGAGCATGTGGATCTAAGCATCATAGCCTTCTACACTTTCCCGCACCGCCTGTAACAGCGCCCCCACAACCTGCTCCCCCTAACGTGCCATCGTCGTCAAATGCTGTTCCAAATGTATCGTCAAACTTCTCGCTCGCTTCGTCGTCATCGCAATCCGCTGCTTTAGTCGCTCAGAATCTTGATACGGATTGTGTTTTGCTTGCCACTGCAGTTATCAGTGTGCAAAATCGCTCTGGTTCGTGGGTTCCTTGCCGCGCCTTGCTCGACTCGGGATCTCAGTTGCATATCATTACTTCTCGCCTCGCACACTCGCTTCAGTTGCCGAAAGTCAAATCCACGGCCACTGTATCTGGACTTGGAGACTCTAAATTTTGCTCGGATGGTTTTTCGGTAAATATTACTCTAAAGTCTCAAGCTTCAGATTTCGTCTCCAGTATCTCGGCTTTGGTTGCGCCTGCCATCACGGACGACCAGCCTAGCTTCACCGTCAGCCCAGAGGACTCGAACATACCTTCCAACATTCGCCTGGCCGATCCACAGTTCTTCAGATCACAAAGAATTGACTTATTAATTGGAGCAAGTCTATTCTTTGAGCTGCTATGCGTTGGCCAAATTAAGTTGTCTGATGGGCTCCCGTTGTTGCAAAAAACTCGATTGGGATGGGTTGTCACTGGCGGAGGATCAGCGCCACGCCAGTCAGCGGCCTTGGCGGTCCAAGCTACTGCAGGGACGTTAGTCGGAGATGACGCTCGTCTGGAGAGCGTTGTGCGGAAGTTTTGGGAAGTTGAAAACGTTGGAGAGTCTGGATCTCAACGTACCAAAGAGGAACTCGATTGTGAAGCTCATTTCAACGCCAACTTTACTCGGCTGCCGTCAGGAGAATACTCGGTTCGCCTGCCAACCAAGCATAGTGTTGAAATCCTGGGAGATTCATATCAACAAGCTTATCGTCGTTTCGTTAACCTGGAGAACAAACTGGATCGTCATCCTCATCTCAAAGCTCAGTACTCGGCATTTATTCGTGAGTACCTCGATCTGAATCATATGTCTCTTGTGGATTTAGACTCACGGAATTTATGCAAGTTTTATTTGCCGCATCACTGCGTCATTAAAGAGGATAGCACAACTACGAAGCTGCGTGTTGTCTTTGATGGGTCTGCCAAATCATCGTCTGGATACTCATTGAATGAGTTGCTCATGGCAGGGCCCACCTTGCAGCCGAGATTGTTCAACACATTGTTGCAGTTTCGCACATTTCCTGTCGCCCTAACCGGCGATATTTGCAAAATGTATAGATGCGTTCGGATTGCTGAGCCGGATAGTTACTTGCAGTGCATTTTGTGGCGTGATTCACGGCAAGAGGAAATTCGTGTTTATAGGCTGGACACTGTCACCTATGGAACTAAACCTGCCTCGTTTCTGTCAGTTCGAGCCATGCATCAGTTGGCAGAAGATGAGAAGGCATCGTTTCCCCTTGGCGCCAAAATACTTTTGCGAGACTTCTACGTGGATGATCTCATCACAGGAGGCAACTCGACACAAGACGTCTTGGAGATCATGCGGCAGACCACTGGACTTCTCGAAAGGGGCAATTTCAAGTTGAGAAAATGGTGCTCAAACGATCCTGCTTTGCTGCAGCAAATCCCAGAGGCCGAAAGGGATTCATTCTTGAAGTTCGACGATGGCAGCGACATTACAAAAACGCTTGGACTTGCTTGGGATTCGTCGTCGGACGTTTTGCTGTTCTCCACATCGCCAATGAAAATTATTGCCAAACCAACCAAGCGCTCAGTCTTGTCTACGATCGCTTGCTTTTATGATCCTCTAGGTCTTATTTGTCCTGTAATTACTAAAGCCAAAATATTTTTACAGAAGATCTGGAGAAAGAGACTCGACTGGGACGAAAGCTTGCCTGCAGCGCTTAATTCATCGTGGCTAAGTTTGTCGGCCAATATTTGTGAGACGCAAAAGCTCCAGTTTCCTCGACTAGCACTGAACCCAAACAACGTGATCGAAGTCCACGGATTCAGTGATGCCAGTATTGACGCATACGGAGGCTGCATTTACGTCGTGTCCATGGAGGATGACCGAAGGATTGCCCATCTCCTCTGCGCTAAATCTCGTGTGGCGCCACTGAAGACTCTCACGGTCCCTAAGCTGGAGTTGTCTGCTGCCGTGCTGCTGGCTCAACTCATTCAAGAAGTACAACAAATGGGGCTATTCTCGTGCTCCTACTACTGCTGGTCGGATTCTGCAGTTGTTTTGTCCTGGATTAGAGATGAGTCGTCACGTTTTCAAATATTTACTGCTAACCGAATCTCTTTAATTCAGTCTATTACAATTGGAATGGAATGGCGCTACGTCCCTACGAGCTGCAATCCAGCAGATATCCTGTCAAGAGGTGCTCTTCCCAGTGAACTGGTAGCTTCTAACCTATGGGCTCATGGACCTGACTATCTTCAAAAGGAAAAATCTCAATGGCCAGAGTCCTGCCTTGCAGTGAAGACTCTTCCTGACCTTAAAAAGATTGCTTTGGTTGGCATCTCGGCAGCTGCTGATGTATCCTTGTACTGCAAATTCTTCAACTCGTGGGAAAAATTAAAGCATGTCTTCGGCTACATCTACAAGTTTCGCCATCGTATCAGGCAACCAGGTCTCACTTCGGAACATGTTCGCTGTGGCACCCAAATGCTCATTCGCTCCATTCAGAGGGTTCATCTTAATGACGAGTATCATTGCCTGCTTCGAGGACGGCCAATAAAGGCCTCCAGCTCCATCGCATCGCTCTCGCCCATTATCGACGAACTTGGGCTTTTACGTGTTGGCGGTCGACTGAAAAACTCTGCTCTGGACTATGAGGCACGCCATCCACTGATATTACCTCGTCAGCATCCTGTAACCCGCGCAATAATCCTGCATTTTCATCGGCGCAACCTACAC